TTTAAATTAATTGTTATTTTTAATTCTCTCGTTTCCACGTGAATTTACATTTGGTACAAATAATAATAATAAAAAAACAATAACACCAACAATCAACATAGTATAATATAATAAATAGGTGAGTCGGAACACGCGCGCGTTCTGTCACATTCTATAAAATACAGTAAATTAAATTAATCATTGCACCTAAAGGTGAGCGATTTATCATTTTTTCAGTATTTGCATCCTAAAAGTCAAAATGGAACACGGGTTTTGATGTATTTGGTCGGGAATTCCATACACAGTAAATTAAGCAATGTTCGTACCTTTGTAAGTGCGATTTATCATTATCATCGCAGTGTTTAATTAAATGTTTAATATTCTGATATCGGTGGAATTTGGTTTATGTTATAATCTGAGTAATCATTTTGATTCACAAAATATCACATCGTATCAAACATTATTTTCCAGTCAAAACTATATAATTTCTATTTGTGTTAAACATCACAACCAACAACTCAAAAACTAGCTATCAATTAATTAGTTCTGTTGTCAAAACGTATAAGTAGTGTCGTTTTATTGTCTTATAACACTGGTCGAAGAGGTGCAACAGATACCTACCCTTTCCAAAAATTATACCTATCAAATCGACTAATTGTTTGAGTAACCAACATCGACCAACCACCTGCAAACCTTTGTTTGGTGTTCCTAAAATCTATTTGTTGTGCAATAATATTATAATAATTGTTATAACAATAATAACATTATTATAAGTAAAACAAACGAAAACTGGGGAAGTGTATAAGACCTTTGACGAACGATGTCGTTTCGGGTTTCTACGCTTCCCGCAATTTGAATTGTTTACTACCTATACAATAATAATAATAATAATAACAATAATTGTCTCCACAATTGCGGGGACCGTAGTAACACCGCAGCTGCTGCAAAGGCGAATCGCGCGGGCCAATATGTGATTCGGCTAATCGTCTTCTGGTCTGCTGGAGTCGTTGTCGTCCCTCGTCGAATTTGGTAGAGTCAATCAATCTCAAATAGTCAAATCTTCGAGTAATTTCGACTTTGTGACGGAACGCTCGTGTTAAATTCAAACCGCATTCCTCCGGCAATAACTGCAGGACCGGTAAATAGCGTAGCGGGTCCCACGTCTTCAACTCGCATCAATCAATCGACTCGAACGTATATTATTATTGTTTTTGTTATAAATCGAACTTCTCCTCCCCCCCCACCACCCCCATGGACACTTGACAAATACATATGTATTTACTATAGACTTACATATAATTTTAAATTTAATTCATACTGTACCTATATTGATTATAATACTCGTATTAAAAAGTTTAACGCCCCCCCCCCTAAAAACCGTTCAACATTTCTGAGTGCGACTCAATAACTACGTTCGATCGATTACAAAATAATCGAAAACAACGCGGATTCATTTAAATAACGCATGTATAGGTACACAACATCGTCTATACGATCACAATATTATCATCGAAATAAACTATATTACACACATTGCGATGGGTTAGAACTTATAACTATTATGTATCGCATTTTATGGCACGCTGTTTGAATTTAAGTGAGATTAAACATGCCATTTGATTTATTCGTGATAAGCGTGTGTATTATGTTGTAGGTACACGTGTATTTTATATATTTATATACGGAGACACATACAGTACGCATAACTGAATGGAACAGTTTTAACGTCGCAGTGTTCTAAAATGGAGAGTTTCTGAATTATATTTATAAAAGTTTCTATGCCGATAAATGTGAATACGAGACAGGTACCCACCTACGACGTGATCTCACAAAAACGCATATAGTGTGACAACAAAATTATCATGTAAAAGAAATGCACACATTCAACCGGATGATTAATTGGACAGCAGGCACTCATTATTTTGAAAAGTATTTATGTTTTTGAAAATATCTTGCTGTTAAAGAAAGTGAAAAACCGATACACGATTAATATGTAACCACAAAAACATGGCAAAATAATATTTATAATGTTTTATTCGAAAATGCTAGTTTCGTAAGCGCTTCAAATTAAAATTGAAAAGAAATATTTTCAACTAATATTTCATTTAAGTGTAATAATCACAACTAAATTTGGAAAAAAAATCACTATAATATTAATAATTATAAATGCATGGGACACGCGTGTGAGTAGCGCCTCTGAAAGTTATTTAAACAGTTAAAGCCAACCGACTGTCTTAAGTACATAATATTTCCATTGTTTAGATGATAAAAATGTATTTTTATTAAAAACAACACGTCATAACACATTACAATAATATGTACTTACATAATATATTATTTACCCTTTAGTCAGGTATTATCTTAAGCGCTATTAATATGTAAGTCTCAAAGCTCCATTATTGAATCCATATACGTATCTGGTCGGGAATATTATTGCTCACAAGATTTGGAATGCTACTCAACTTAAATGCTAATATAAAGATAACTAAACAAGTCGTACAATGATTGTGGTTACGAAATTCCATACATCCGTGCGATGGGAATCTTATTCATGTATACGAGGTCTGCATACGAATTCTATTTAAATTCAAATGGCTTTCGTACACACCCACACACACACATCCCCTTCAAATAATAATAATAATAATAATAATAATAATAATAATAATGACGACGATGATAATAAAAACAATAGCTCGTGGATGATCGGAAATGTTCTAGTACAATACACAGGAACATTAATACATAATATGACGTAGTATAGACAAGACATTAAAGTTTTGAAAATCATATTCTATTCCTCTGCAATCATCTACGCATTTAATTGAAATTATTTATACCACCGAAATGGCACCAACTCAAAATTAGTGATTGATTGTAAATCGTACAGGTAGTTCTAATACTAATATATAGATTAAAAAACTATGCACAATTATAGCATTTCTTATTGATGTATGTAATATTGTGTATCTGTCGAATTTATATTTTCTGATTTATAATGTTTCTAAACAATATTGGGATTTACTGTAAGTACCCGATGCTTTGATTTTATAGTATAATTTTAATTGATTGGATGATAAGAATCTATTTTTTTGTTGCAAAATAATCTACAATAATAGGTGCACACGAATTGCGTACCAAGTCAGGTAAACCAACCTTTTTGAACAAATTGCGTCCCGGACGCAATTCATGATACTTTTATTTTGATAATATTTTAAAATTAAAAAAAAAAATAATAATAATATAAATTAAATATTAATGAAATAACGATTAAAGATTATGACTTATGATTTATATACCTATGATATTATGTTTTCACAATATCGATTTCTTATATAACCTGACATATTTTTATTATTTCAATATCACTTTAGGAACCACTCAACTACAGATAAAAAGGTAATATGAATTTCGTCCGGGACGCAATTTGTTCAAAAAGATTCGTTTACCTGTTTTGGTAGGTTCCACAATAATATATGATAGCTGAACAGGCGAACAGCAAGATCTTTTTCGTAGTGCTGTTCACTGTTATAACCATTGTGGCTTATAATAATGTTTTCTACTGACATTTGTCAAATTTTAATTGATTGACGTAAAATTATTTTGAATATTTTTCCTGAAAAATTTGTTTTGATGTTTCATGATTTAATTGGAATAATATAATATAATACGTATACCGTTTAACAACCTCCGAATATTTGAATCAAAATCATTAATCAAATCCTATTAACTCTAAATGCATATACTCAGTTGAGATTAAAGTTTAATCTCCTTAACTGTTATATTAATTAGCCATATTTAGTTAGATGTTACAATAAATTATCATAAACATAATATATTCAATATTCATTACAGAAAAGTAATTTCGTATAAGTTTAATCGCATTTAATTAACGAATAACAAGATCAATTTGTACATCGGGTCATTATGCTTATAGTTATATAATCTATGTACCAATTATAATCATATATAGGTTATTAATTATTAAATCCACGCCATTGATAAAATAATAATTTATCGAGTCAAACGGAAAAGGAAGTAGTTATTATTATTATTATATTAGGTTATCGATAAAATCTTAGCAATTCCCTTGAGCAAAAGAACCTTTTTTTATTTTTCGTCTCATTCATTAAAATAAAAAACACACATTCTATATGTATGCACACCACGTTACAAGATAATAAAAAACAAATTTAGTTTTTTAACTCTCAAAAGCGTGTGAAATTTAAAATTACGACGAAAATCGTTTTAGGTAAAACATTTGACATATAGTTGTCGTGTGTGGTTGATTTTAGTGCGGATTTCGAAAAATGGTAATTTCACGGATTTTTGTCGCATCATTCATAATTTCAAATACTATTGTCAACGTTTATTTTGTTCGTCATGACGTGTAATTATTATAAATTTTTACTTCCGCTTAGTGCCGTGCACATGTTATTACCGTAGACCACAGTACCTAATACGGTTTTCAATAAAACATAACATTTCGATGAATTACTTAAACACTCGTGCGTATAATTTTAAATGCATCCGATCGTTTTAATCTGTGGGTGTTTTGAAGTTTATCCGTAAAGTTTTCAAATCGAAATGCGAAAGAAAAGTTAAAACAAATATTCATAAAGTTTTAATTTATACTTAAGGGTTTAAAGGATTCGTAAAGTTTTTGAAAGACAAAAATGCCCATGCCCAACACGGTCATTTTTAGTTATCTCGGAAGTATGAAATTTAATATAAAATCAAACACGCACATAATATTGTACGTGTACCTACAATTACAATGCGTTGCTGTCCAGAAGGATAATCGAAACAGGTAATCACGAAATAAATTTTTATAAGTCATGGGTATCACATCATAAAATATTATGTTGTCACTATAGATTAAATACCAGTAACGAGCGGTGTTCTTTGTAGTTGTGTGTATTGCTACATATTTAGCAACATATACCTATATATTGCTATTGTGATGATGATTATTATTATTATTATTATTATTACTCGCCTACTATTTTTATTTATTACAGATAAATCTAATTTTTCTGAAACATCACTACACATATGAATGTTGCGGTCAGCTGCATACAAATAACATCAAGAATATTTACAATCAGATGTATATGTAAAGTTTACACCAAGATTTATGTAAACAAGTGGTTCTCAGCCGGTGTGTGGCGTGTTAGTACAGTAATGTGTGTATGCTACCAAAAAAATCGTTTATTCATATTGTAAATCATGTTCAAAAAATAAATATGACATTCTGATGGTAAAAATCATGGATAAGAAAAGCAAATTGTGAAGATAGTTTCATTCTCAATTTACACATAGGTTTATAGGTTTATAATTGTTACTTTTTAAAAAATCCATTTAATTGTTTTAACTTGTCGTCATTTTAATAAATCTAAATTAGGGTATCGCCGTAAAAAAAATTGAGAAACACTAATGTAAGCTATGGTCCACATTCAATCATAGCATTATAATTGCGTGTATCGATAACATTATAGGTATATGTACGTCAGTGTTTGGCAAAAAAAAACTCTTTGATAAGCCGCGATGATTAATGTTTACAACTTACAAGGTATATCTACATATTAATATATCATACTATATGCATTCAATGAATTATAGTCAATATAATAATAGTCAAGAAAATGTAAAATAAATATTATAATCTTTATTATATACACAGACATATACAATAAACAACTAGATAGCCGACTATCCCCAAGCACTGTACAGAATTTTGAAGTTTGTCCGCCATTTTCCTAAACGGCAATGTTTACATTGTTATGTGATAACACGATATAGATGACTGACAAAAACCATAGACTTGTATATATATGTCTATGACAAAACCATTGGGGCTTTCGGTTTTTTTTTGTTATCAAATACTGTTATCACATTAAACTATAAACATTGCCGTTTAGGCTTATGGTGATTTTGCGTTCAAAGATAAACCAAAGTCGGCTATCTAGTTGTTTTTATATTAAAATATCGATGAAAATAAAATAAATAAAAAAACCAGTTTACCACGGACCATGTGTTTGAGACGTTTGGGTATTTAATCGTATAGTATGATACTATGGGTACATAATTTCCATACCTACCTAAATATAATTAGTATTATTGAAATTATATTAAAATTATCGACATGTTTCATATTTTATAAAATTATTATTGTGGAGGTAATATTTATAAGCTTTAGTAGTCAGTTAATCATGGGTCTATTTTTTACCAACACTGACACACGTATATTATAATAAAATACCTGTTTTTAAGTTTCGTAAACTTCCGACCTCCGACATGGGTCGGAGAATCGCGAGTGAGCGTCTGTTGCAGTATTGTGGAAAAGCAGATTAGGTGAACAAAGAATAATAGTTAATAATATTATTGCCGGATTGTGTGCAACGTGATAAATGATGGATGCAGTATTGTTCACTAAATTATGACTAGTTATTTTCAATCATACATCCATTATTCATATCCTTATAGGTATGATATATATCAGGGGTCTCCAACCTTTTCCAACAAGTGAGCTACTATTTAAAATGTGCAAGTCAAGTATCTGGTGATCGACCAAGCTAATTATTTAGGTATACTATGTAATATACCAGGAACCTATTATATATGCAGCGTAAAAATTAATTTTATTCTTAAATTTCATTATTTCTCCAACGGAAAATTGTAATTTTTCTTCGATAATTAATACTTTACTTAGTACATAAAATAAGACAAAAACGTGTTTAAGATAACGCACGTACTTAAGCAATATTGGAATGATTAATTTTTGACACGATCGATCATTATTTATCTAAAGGTCGACCAGAAGATCGCGATCGACTGTTATGTACAGTGCACATCGATGTGTTCTCGCGGATAATATCGGAGAAAACATTTCGGTGTATGACTGTTGCAGTGCGTGTAATATAATATGTTTGATGAATTTCTATTTTCTAATCCCATCGACGCGTAACGGCTGAATATTAAAAAAAAAGTGCAAGTAATAATATGTGACATATGGTGTGGTAGACGTGACATCGCCGTTTGTTTCCGGTTTCGACTTTTATCGGTTTTTTACATTAGTGGCCGCTGCGAGTGAGTGTTTCAGATGAAATGAAAGAATACAATATTTTTGAAAGCAGACCACTCACATAATATCACTTATGACCTACCTATATTTTATTCAATTTTTTATTTTTGTAATTTAAAAATACACGAATTATTTTAAAATGTTTATACTTCTTACGATTGGATATTAAATTTGAATAAGCTCAGAATGCGGTAGGAAAAACTTTCCAATTTTTCAAAATTAAATACTTCCTTTTTGTTTTTGATGTTAGTTGATAATATTATTTTAGCTAAACATAATATAGGAGGTATATGTCTACTTGAAAGTTGAATCTTTAACAGGTAAACTTAAAAATTCTTATCAACAGAAAATTAATAAATCGTCCATAAAAGATTATCCTATACCTATTACATTATGTTTAATAAATATAGGTATGTTTATGTATAAATACAGCGTAAAGTGCCTGTAATATTATAATATGAACAGTCTTAGGGGAATAGTACGACACATAACTTAGTAGTTCAAGTGATCTCTGAGACTGTTGTCTGTCGAGAACACGCGTTACGGTAAAAAAAATAAAATTGTCTTAAACTAAAAAATGTTATGTATTGACGCGTACTAATATATTATACAGGTGTCTCGCGGACTGCCAATTATATGTAAAACAACTGAAAAAGAAAATTGTTTGTTTTAACGAAAAATGTAATAATTCATTTGGAACTCGTTATTTTGTCGCAACATAACATTATAATAATATGTTACTTGACAATCCCGTTTTCGTTATAGACATAGCACCATATGGAACGCGCGCTACAAAGTGACATCGTTACGTAACCAAATCCGCCAACACCAGACCGTATTTATATAACCATTAAATATATTTTAATATTATGCCATCGGCAGAAGATTCAAGCGTTTTACGACGGCTGAGCAATAGTGGACCACGAACACGATACACGGACGATAACGGGACACAAAACGATTCGGGGGGAAATAAAAATTGAAAACTCTCGCCGCCACAACGCTTTTCGTTATACACGCATATACACGTAGGACCTACGCAGTTTTTAATTGCATTTACGCTTACGCGGAACGATAATTACGTTATGGAAAGCACACAACGCATATTATATGCACACATCCGTGCGTATGTGCAAAATATAATATTATTATATTGTACAACCACTTCACCGTGTGTATCCGCCGCACATCGAACATGTGGATCGTTGCGGTCTCTCCCTCCGTCCCTAGCTGTCTCACCGCGCGCCACTCTAACGCATTCTTTCACCCTGCCGCGGTCGCGACGCGCCACTCGCCCCCGTCGCTCGGTCTTTATTCGCATCATCCGCGCGTCAACCGCGCGTACACATATACGGCGAATAATAAAGCTGTTGCAGCCATAACTTTCTCCCTCTGCCCACCCGCCGCCGCCGCCCACCCGCCAATCCGTGACCGTGCTGGGAAACGTACGCTGCCGCCGCCGCCGCCGCCGATTGATGATGTCGGTCGAGCGAGGAGGGGCAGGACGGGACCGCGGCGGCGGCGGCGGCGTGATAATGCTGTAATATAATAATAATAATAATAATAATAATAATATTCGCAAACGGTTGATTTATTATCGCGTTTTATTTCGACGCGTCAATCATCGGCGGGACGCCACCACCGCCGCCGCTCGCGAGTTCGGTACGTCTGGGCTATTACGATATACCTGTCTATATATATTGTAGGTATAATACGCCGACCGCGTTGTGACTTTTGCCGCCGACCGTCGTCCGCCACCTGAGGCTCGCCTATACGACCACAGTAAATGATAATAACAGTTTATACATAACTATACCGTTTCGAGCACAATGCTCGCTAAATAAGGGTCGCCGAAAATACCGGTCGATTATTACGAAAAACACTCGTCGACGGTTTTCTTTGTAAAATCGAAAGACCCGACCGTCGCACGCGACGTCGAGTCGAGCATCTACTCGCATCATTTTTCTTGACGATCGCGTCTTTCCGTCGTGGCCGCTCATCGGGGTAGTACCAGTGGCGATCTCGATGACGTTATAACCTATAATACACCTAATAATGTTAATTACTGAGAGGAATAAATTCGGCCAAAAATATCCGCGCGGCCGAGATGTCGACCGGACGACGAGGAAAACGTTTCGATGACCTTTCGGGATCGTCGTGCGCGTTTTAATTAGGTAATAAGGTGAGTCTTCCGAGTGGAACCGCTCGTTATCAACCGACGCTCGCCCGGTGGACATAATAATATTAAGTACGTATAATATAAGTAATATATGATGCCTGTTTGGCCGTCGTTCAGCATATATACTTTTGACATCTGCGGCGGGACGCTTTAAATAGCCGTCATTTCGTTTAGCGCACCGCTGTGCGCGTGCGGTCCTAAAACTTTTTCATCGTCGTTATCGTTTTTGAAAAAAATTTAAAAAAATTAAAAAAAAAAAAATGTAATACCGAATAATGAAATGACCGCCACGCATGTATATAATATACACAAACAGCAAGCAGCTATATGACGTATTTCGTATTATAATAAATAGGTAGGTATATATAATAAGTAATAACCTTTTTGTGTATTAAAACTAAATTCAAACAAATTGTCCTTTTAATTAATTTAAACAAATTACCTACTAAACTGTCGCCCGAAATTACCTTTGGCGTGTTTTCAACCCTTATTTTAAGCACACTAAGTTTAAAACACGCAGAGCATAATGTTTCATTCGTGTGAATAGCCTACCACTGAAAGAAGTCTCACGGAAAAAAAGTAAAATTAAAAAAAAAAAAATGTGGGTAAGCACAAACAAAAGTTGGCTCGTCCATAACTAGGACTCGAGAGTATAATATTTTCTGCCGTTTGCGGTTGCTGCAGTGCCTCCCCACCCTCTCCCTTCCCCCCTCATCCCGATGCGAAAACGGCATTACCACATTCTCATATATTATAGAGAGTGTGTTGCTCACGTGATGACAAATGTCTGCAAATCCGTTGTATTAGGTACACATTATCCGTCGCGGATTGTAAGTGATTGTGCGTATATGAGCGTAAATGTATTTTCGGTGGACAACTAATGCGCACATGTACCGACTACTACAGCCGACGAGAGGGGTGTGAAAATAATGGAAAAAAGTCAAAGGCGTTTAATAATAATATTACAAAACCGAGTGTTTACTCTTAAAAAAAGCGTGCATGACGCGCACGAAACGGCAAATTCGGCTGCTCCGTGAGTAAAGGGCGCGCATGATACCTAGGCGTATACCACAACCACTGTTGTAGTCGTGGTATAAATGTACAATCAAAAAACGGAATACCTACGATAAACGATGAGACCGACCACCCACGATTTATCGGGTCCTCCGCAGTGTACCGAGGAGTGTGGGCGACAAGACGATACCGTTGACGGTTTTTGCTCAGATCGTGATGATGTTCCGCGGCAACGAGTAGAGTAAAAACATGTTTTTCTTATAATGATTTTTATTTCAATTCTAGTTCGACCGACTGATCATAAT